CCGGAACGATTTTGGGCGCGTTCGGCCTGAGGATTCAAACCAACATTTTCCCGTCCGATGACCATCCACGGAGATTCTCCATTTGCCTTTGGCAGGTTCGGAAACTTTCATCAAGTTTCACCTCACATTCGCCGTGCATTACCAGTGGTCATAGCTAGGCATGGCGAGGAATATTTTCCGTCTTGACCACGCTCTTAATATTATTCGGCACTCCGTTGGGCACGGACAAAATCTCCCAGCTAAGTCTCCGTGTTGGTAATGCCAAACGCCATTCCGGAGAGTTTTCCACATTCCGGACAATTCTCCCAGATTATCCCTTGTCCTTCCAGACGATCCAATGGACCTGCTGTGTGTCGTGCCTGGCCGTGTTGCGTAGGGCCTTCGTGAGGCGCCCTTTGGCGGGTAAGGCGCAATTTCCCTTCACCTTTGCGTGACCGCCCGGGTCTTGAAGCGCAATAACCCGTCGCTCTCCCACCAGCCATGCTTGAGCCGGAGCAGGCTTGACAGGGCGAACACGCGTCTCGTTTAAACGGCTCCCCGAGCAGGATGGCTGACAGCACGGAGCGGAGCGCAGCGGGGCGCATGCCGTGGCCAGCCCGGCGGGGGAGGACGGCTGACAGCACGGAGCGCAGCGCAGCGGGGCGCGTGCCGTGGCGAGCCCGGCGGGGGAGGACGGCTGATAGCACGGAGCGGAGCGCAACGGGGCGCGTGCCGTGGCCAGCCCGGCGGGGGAGGACGGCTGACAGCACGGAGCGCAGCGCAGCGGGCCGCATGCCGTGGCCAGCCCGGCAAGAGAGGACAGCTGATAGCACGGAGAGGAGCGCAGCGGGCGCGTGCCGTGGCGAGCCCGACGAGAGAGGATGGCTGACAGCACGGAGCGGAGCGCAGCGGGGCGCGTGCCGTGGCGAGTCCGACGAGAGAGGACGGTTGGCAGCGGCCAGTCTGCAGCGGACGAAATCAATAGCTCGGTCCCATCATCGACTGCCGGCGGGATGCCGTGACACGGACAGCGACCCTCGGACACGCTTCGCACGGCCGGCCGGACCGCGGCACCAGACCTGACAACCACCCCCACCCCTGCCCCTCCCCTAGCCTCTGACTGGGAGACTGGACCCTTTGTTCCGCGGCGCCCAGTTGCCGGAGTGTGGCTACAGCAGCGCCGGGTGCCGGACAGAGCAGCCGCGTTCCAGCCGCGCCGATTGGCGCAGTGTGTATCTTCTGTCTCCACATGTATGCAAAACAAATCAAAGCTATGCGCTGGACTGTTCCATCAAGGTGATGACAGTTAGCCTCGTAGCGAACAAATGGCAATGTCCTGGCCAAAATATATCTCCTTCTTCTGGACCATCTATGAAATCCACTCGCGCCCGCACGCTGGAGATACATCGCCAAACAAAATTACGCTCAATGTAAGACAAATTTGAGTTCGTAGGACGCCCACGTCTCTGTAAGAGCTTCCTGTAATCAAATGCCACTGAAATCCTTGCGTTATCATCCAATTCGAATTGATACTTGACACTGCCGAAGGTCAGACAACTAGATGTCACGTTCGATGACTTCAATTATTTCATCTGTCTGAACGTCACAAAGCGAGAGCGATGCGTTGATCATGACCAACGAGAAAGCCAACGCCTGCATGCCAATTTGCAAGCGGACGTCAGCCGGCCTGGGCGTCGCCGTCGACCAGTGTGTAACGTCCCGGCCCGATCTCCGTGGAAGGCGTGTGACCCGACGCCGCCAGGGGCGCCTTCGCCGGCCGTCCAATGAAAGCCTCGCTCTCTAGCTCGCGCCGGCACACCGATAACTCGTGGCACGGGCGGCCGGTGGCCGATTGGACGGAGGGAGGGCTGGACGGAGGGAGGAGGGATTGGACGGAGGGAGGAGGACGGCGGGCCGATCACGACCTGAACGAAATTAAGAAGATCTGCAGATTGTGTAGAATCGATGACCTGTCGCGACAAATCTTGTCACCCCTACCGGTGACCGATGATAACAGATTGTAGACATAAGCTGGGGTCTGAGTGGAAATCTCTGCTGCTGACTAGACCACCTGCCGCTTGGTCTCTTCGTCAGGCAGGCTTTCTGTGCCGTCACGTGTCGTAATTCTCATTTGACCATCTTCGGCACGCCATGTCGCCACACACACGTCGTGACCTACGGGATCGCGACTGGGTTGACTCAGGTCGCTTGTGACTATGTGGTATGCGCTGGGTCCGCTCGCCCGGAGCGATGTGGTGTACGCTGGGTCCGCTCACCCGGGGCGATGTGGCGTGCG